GAACTCAGCCTGGAAACTTTTGTTTTGGATTGTTCTTTACCACCAAATCTCTCATTAGTTATCCCGAGATGTCACAGAAATCTTAGATTACATACTCATAACGGCTGACATTACAATTTCTAAGCAAACAAATCAAGTCAAGAAGTCGGTGGAGAACATTTGTTGCATCTAGTAAATATTATTTAAAGCAATTGCCAATTAAATGATATTAAAATCGGCAAAAAATTCTCTAAATTTGACGGAAAAAATTAAAAATGACTTATCAGTCGAAATGGACGAAAAATGTAAAATATAATGACGTATAAAAATTGGTTATGTCCTTTGGTCATAACATAAAATTAATATCTCTACTAGAAGGCATTGTTCTAAAGTGAAAAGAAAAAAATAATATTTCATTAAAGTTCGCCCCCTAGTCAGTAGTTACATTACTGTAGTGTATTGCTTTTTTCTTCAGGGAGATGGTGGTGTTCCTCCCACACTTGATATTGCAAATCCGGCGCCAACTGCGCGTCGCCTTGCGGACGATTGCCTCTTCAGGTATCTCCCCCAGCAGGGCACCGACTCAGCCGGGACAGAGGGTTTCAACTTGAAAGATTAAAGAGCCACAACGAAAACCTGTAACATGGCATCGGGCATTTCATTTTTTTGCCGATCCACATACCTGACTTCGCCTTATTGTTTATCTCGGTAATTTGACGTCTGCTCTGGGACGGGGGGGTGGAACCATACGTGATATAAGGACGTACCGTGCATAACGCAGAGAAACATGGATGGATGATTTTGAATGTTTGAATTTACTACCAAAAAATCTGTAAATATAAACTTACTGCTATGCAAGTCAACTGCAATGATCATTAGTTCCTTTGGTGTAGTGCATGTTTTTATTGTCCTGGAAGGTGGATGTGTTCGGGATTGAATACAGCCACCTCACAGAACAATAAAATGTGGTGTGATTCGGCTCCGACCGACACATTGGCTTGTGGGGTATTGCCCCTTTCCGGTATCTCCGCCAACGGGATACCGCTCCAGCCGGGACGAGTTTTAAGCTCCAGACTGGTCTCTCGACATGTCAGGTAGTACGGAGCGTGTGAGTGTATGTAAGTATGGGACGAGGATGGAACAAGGAAGAAGAAGGAGAAGTTGCGTGCAGTCTGTAGTCCGTTTGTTAAGGTACTACTCCGGCATTCGCTAGATGTTTATCGAAGAAACCACGGAAAATACCGCTCAAAACAAACTGCAGCTAGAATTCTCCTCCAGACATCGTATGAATTCGACCTAGCTATGTAGCAAGTATCGAATATCGTGTCATCGTCGAAACTCGAACCTTTCAACATCCCAGTGATATAAGTTATCTAAGCTTGGATAGATCTCCTGATATGTGTGAAAGTTTAGTGCATATAAGTGTAAGAGTGTGAGGAAAGGGAGAGGATATGGCAAAGGAGGGTAAGGAAAGACCTGTTTGTTAAGAGTATTGCTCCGGCATTCTCCTAGTATTGATTGGAGAATCTACTGATCAGAGAGCTCGGCCCGTAGAATTCTCCTCCAGATAACGGGTGAATTCGATATTTGATCGATAGTTAACTAGTAGAAGAAAAGTAGTTGAGTTAAATTGCTAAAAAAAGGAGTTAAAATGTGAAAAAAGTAAAAAAAAAGTATAACATTTGAAATAATCTTATTTTATTCTGTAAATTTACTGAGAGCAGAAGTGCAGAAGACAGATGAGTTACGGCTTAAATTGTGCGTTATGTTCTGCGAATTGAAATTTTATGCCAAGAATTCGTCGAGAGATAAATAGGAGTTGTCAGGTTCAGGCATTTATTCTTGTGATGGAAGGTCTTCACAAAATGCACAAATATGCAATTAGAGTATACACATTTGGACGAGAAAATGTTTTAATATTGTTAGACATCGATTTTGCGTCAAGACACATTTATATACTCACAAATTACGTTAAATTCATTAAATTCGCTCTGATTCTGGCAAGATTATTAAATGGAGTTAAAGACGGTAGATTTTCAATACAACGCACCAACAACCCCTCTGCGAAATACGAGGAAGAAAATAAGAGTAAGATTTTCTCATCGATCTGACACTTTCAATTTAAGTTCTGTGAGAGCCCTTTCAGATGTCAAGAATTTCATCAGACTTCTTGACGCCCAGTAGACTCGTAGTAAAAGTTTGGGACGCCTAATGTAGGACCTCATTTGATATGTATGAAGCATTCATGCATAATATTAGAGTTAATGTACAATATGGCTTGAACGTGGAGTTATGTTATTTTGATGACAAAACGTGACAACCAACAACCACATATTTATGATTATTTTATGCATATGATTATATTATTATTTGTGTGCTTCATTGTATCACATAAATTGATACCTTTTAAATTGTGATTGTATCTATATGACATTCAAGAATAGGAGTTTTTACAAACTTTTCACAATTAATATTTAAAGTAGTAGAGTGAAAATGTGCTATGGAAATGAATTTGCCCTTATTTCAGTGCAAACTTCGTATTAATATCTTTAATAAAAAGTATTACCATATGGATTAAGTCTCATAGTGTATAGTATAACTGTTCACTGTCTTGAAGTTACAACTATTAATATGAGAATACAAAGGGATAATTTTTATTGTTCCAATCTTCAGTTTGAAAGGTCTAGACAAAATACACTTCGTGTACGAGTACGACGTACTTGTATTCTTCAAAAATGCACACACCTTTACTTAACAGTTCCTATTGTATGGTACCTACCGTACATTCTTCTACGATAAAGGTTATTTTATCAGATACCATTTTCATGCAATTCATTTTTAAGAAAAATATCAAAACTTTGGGGTTCGAATTCTATGACTTTCCCACCAACAATACTATAGAGCCAACGATATTACCGTTGAACAATCGCAACCGGTATTAAACATTTGAACTAAACGTTCTCTCACAGTCATCGTGATTTCATGTAGTACCTGCTGAATCCCTGTGCATTCGCGTTTACCTAACATTCAGAGGCAAATTTCACAGGTATAGCTCCGTTACCTTAAATTTAACACTATTTGTTCATTCGCAACAATTGATTTTTTGCTACTCCTTTACATGCTGTAGAAGTTTGTATTATTTAATCTGAGACACTTGAGTAATTTTCATAAAAATGAAAGTCCAAGTTTTTTACTTCAGGTATCTTTGAGTTATATTTAAAACTATCATAACAATTTCCTCTTATATTTACTTTTCAAAGAATGCTTACAAGTTATGGCTCCGTACACTATTCAGTTGGCCTATTGTCTAGGAGGTCTCTGCGCGGCGTCGGTGTGCGTTCCTTTCGCACGAGCCCGTGACAAAAGGAGCGAGGGCGGGCGCGAGAAGAGAGCTGAAAAGCTGCGGTGGGAGAACCGATGGGAGGAAGCGGTTCTGATCCTTAGTTATGAATCTCCTTTATCCACAGCGACGACGCATCGCAGAGCGAGCTCTGCAATATAACGACATCTTCCGCCTTGGAACACCATTCAGAGCACAGTCGGAAAAGAAGTAGATATTTCCGGTGGAAAGGCGGGAGAGCGACTATTTCGACTTCGAGATTGATACTACGCTGGCAAAATGTTTAGAGCCACTCCATAGTATGGAGGTTGTCGACTATAATTATTTGTAAGGAAAATACACGGCAAACACCTACTTAAAGCCTTTACGTAGCTGTATAATAAGTAAGTAGCAAAGGAAATCCTCCTTTGAACTAAGAATTCGAAAATTCAAGTTTTCTTTTTTACAAAAATCACTGGGTGATTATAACAATTGGTATTCTACTTCATATGTTGTATTCAATGGAGGATGCATGTTTTTATCTGCCGGTTTTCTGGGTAAATATATTGCTTCTAAAATTCCTCTGTCTCCTAACCGTCTGTGAACAGTTTGTGAAATTAGAATAAACAACAAGAAAATGCACACCTAGGTAAAACTTTCGATATGCTACTTGTTATAACCTTTTCAAAATCACTCATTACTCTGCTTGGTAATACTATCTGAGTGCTAATAATTTGGATCTGCATTTTGGAATACTTCAGCATAAGAATTTCTATCTTCGTTACATAGCAATCTAAATAGCTCTTGTAGAGCATTTTGGACTTCATTAATGTATGACTCTCGTTTCTTTTAATTCAATTGATTATCGTAAACAACTACCTGAATATGCTTGAAACTACCCTAAAAGCCCCATCAACAAACCACATATTACTGCGGAAATAGATCTCCAGATTTTCTTTTGTGGCCAATATTATTACAAGACTCCTTTCATGTAAATTTTCATTGAAATTATCGTGCAATGGGAATGTATTTCCATGGAGTCACTTTTGAATCGAAAGGGTATATAACAGGTAATAAAAGTGAATCGGATGTAATGGAATCAGAAAGTATCCAAATCGAAAAAGTTAATGTTCGGAAAGTTGCTTACAAAAACAATCGGAGAACTGAATGGTAACGTATGTATTGTGTTATTGTGCGAATTTCATTAATATGTATTTTTTATAATGCATAGGTTAACATTCATCATTAAAGTTGAAGGCTTAAATAACGTATGTGCGAATTGTGTCAATATTAAAAAAAGTCCTGAAAGAAGTTCTCAAGAATTGAATGAGACAAAGGAGCAAGATTGTGAAAATTAGTAGCCAGCATATGCTGGCTAGTGTACAAAGTAAATATCATTAATTTTCTAATAATCCAACTTGGCTTTATTTTGTTTAATTTATAAAATTAAAAAGTTTAATGGTCGCCTACATTCTTTGAGATAGTTATCTCGCTTGTTTAAGCAAGAAGCGATACGCTTTTTTTATATATATTTTATATTATATATTTTGAGTCGTGGTTACTAGAATGCGTGATCGTATTTACATTTGGATGCTAGCTAGTTTTAAACAGACTTCATTTTAATTTTTTTTAATGAATTTTACGAGCTTTTGAAGTCAGAATTAAACAAAAGAACCTCCATGACTTTCTCTTTCGTTTTTAGTATACGCTCAACATCGAAATTGAAGCCTTCTCTAGTAACTGCTTCAGCAAATCCCTCGCTCTTCACTCGCGTCTTTTAGACTACATTTCGTCCATAAACTCCTCCAAAACCCTCTTCCACCTCGTCAATCGCAGTGCTCGTACCTCGTTCGAAGAGAGGCAAGTCAGTCACAGATGTCAAACGGCGTTTCGTGTCAACGTGCTAACGCACGTCGCCCTCGCCCTGTTAGGCGCGTTGAACGCTCTCTGGAAGGGCGAGCGTCGCACTCGTGCCGCGAGATGGCGTCGGTGACGCCCTGCTGCAAATCAGGAGATCGCGTCGCGCAGATTGACGAGACACGGCGGTATTGATGGGGTCGCCTCTCGGAGGCCGGGTCGTACATCTCCGAGGAGCAGCGTTGGAGATGCAGCAGGCTGCAGGGGTGATGGCGGCAGCACAAAACTGCAGGTACTGTGATAAGGACTCAATGCTAATGGAGTTCACGAAGGTTGGCATTTGGTGGTGGCGATGATGGTGATGATGTTTGCAGGTTAGAAACGCAGTTACAGAAAAATTGGCAATATTGAATGCTCTGATAACAGTAATGGAGATTATAGAGATGGAAGAGATGTTTACGAAGAGAGGGACAAGGAGGAATTGCATTTTTGAATGGAGAGGTGGGAATTGTGAGCGATAAAAGGGTGATTTTGGGAGTCCTGGAGAGCGGGCTCAGGGTATCAACGGATGACACTGCAGTGCTTCTGACCCGGGGGTCCTGGGGTAAGAGTCCCGACGGTGACAGGATTTTCGATACTAGCCGGATGGTTAGGTTGAGTTCTGTCGCTGTCTGGTGGAGAATTCTGGCGGCCTGCTGCTCTGATCGATAGTTTTCCGTGGTTTGTCCGGTCAATAGCAGGCAAATACCGCAGAAGTACTCTACCGAACGGGCCACTGACCGCGCGCGATCTTTCCTTCCCATTCCTCATCTCTTACACACACTTACACTTACATGCACTACACTAGCACTCGTGCCGAGCGACCGGTCGGTTTGGCCCGGTTGGGTTGGTGTCCAGATTGTGTCAGATACCTGGTTGGGGAAAACCCCACTAGCTGACGGTAGGTCTACGCTAGATCTCAAATTCAACGGGGGAATGTCACCGCCACCTCCTGAGCAAAACAGACACCATGCTTACGAAACTAATGACCTTATCAGTTACGCGCCTGGAATCACTAGTAATCAATCATATTAGGAGAGGTGTGAGAGGTGATTACTACATGAGCCTCGACGTCTGTAGTGGTGGTAAGCGATCTGTGACCTCGATGATGTACTAGCTGCGGTGGCGAAGTGGGCCTGAGTGGCAGAGGTTGCAGCTGCAAGGGCACAAGGCCCGCGCTAAGGAGGGCGGTGCGCATTGTCTCCGGGTGACGCAGGTGCGTGGCGATAGGTGCGCCGCCGCGGGGAGAGGGACTGGCGAAACGACTCCTCGCAGCAGTTCCCCCCTCCTCTGCGAAGGGGGGAAAGAGAAGAAGGAGGGATGCGCGGGGCGAGCGCGCGATGTGTGCCGCGCCCTTCCGAAATCCACTTAGGAGTTTTCTTGGATGTGCCTTTAAAGAACGAGAAACAACTGCTGCGCTTCAACTCTGAGGGTCATTGATCTTGCAGTTACGTGACGCTTTCTCTTCCACCAGGCAATAACATATTTTAAATGATTAAAACACTAATATTAAGCGAGGTTAATGCATTTCTTCTGATACGTAAGAAGAATGATTAATAAATGTATTTAAATTACACAATTTTGCTTTTCCTACTGGTGTAGGTTTTCAAATGTTCTACTAATTTTTACTAAGTGTGTCAAAATTCGTATTTCTGTTTCTGACCTTCAATTGAAACCAGTTTCGCAACCAATATTTTGTTATTGGAAGCTTATGATGCAGTGTTTATTCGACTTGGTGGTATGTAATTAAGAGTTTTTAATTTCTGCTGAATTAAATACTATTTTTATTTGTTCATGTACAGTTATTTGTAATATATTCAGTTGAAATAATGAATTTTCTATTGTTCTCATCCTTTCCTTTTCCCGCTTCAACGTGATGGGCGCTAATTAGGCGGGCTCGTTGTTTTTTAATTTTCGGCACACTCCATTTTTACACTGATTTGGCGATGATTTTATCACCGGATGCCCTTCCTGACGCCAACCACAGGAGTCACTCAATCACATTACTCGTAGACAATAAACCCGATCACGAAACACACAGAACCGTACCCGAGGCGAGATCCGAATCTACGATCTTTCGGACCGAGATCGTCGCGGCATCACTGCCCTAGCAATCTCGGATACCCGGATCGGCTCTATTAAGTAATGAATGATTTTCATTCGTAAAAAAATGTTAAAAACTACTTTTATTAAGAGACTCATCAGTTTATGGGGGATGAAGGTGCGCCATTGATCTCGTCTCTGACGAGAAGTCTCTGCAAATTAATTAATTTATATTCAATATTAACGTACATAAATGAGAGGAGAAATTGTGACTTTCCTCGATAACACTAAGTTTAGAAAATATTGAATTAGACATACGTATCTAAGTGTATTGTAATTGACAGTTTGTTTCCGGAAAAAAATTGACATTTTAAATTGTAAATATTCTTTATTTTCTGACACGTTATGAAGTACTGAAAACTTTTATTTCTTTTCTAAGATTTGTTGTTTTGAAACTGTGGAGGCTAAAATAACCTGGTAAGCTTTGGGACTGAAAAACTTCTTGAAACGCGTGGGTGGTTGACAGAGCGAGACAGAAAAATAAGAAAGCGGACCTCAATCCAAAGAGAGAAAGAGAGTGCAGGAGAAGGAGAGGAGAAAAGAAAGAAAATTGCTAAAGGAACAACGACAAAGTCTAATAGCGCGGCAGCTGTAAGCAGTTCCGTGTATCTCTGATTGGATTGCCAACCTTCGAGCTCAGTTTACCCACGCGATGTGCTATTTATTAAATCTTCACAGTTGTACCATTCTGTAATGAAATTTCGTGGCGTATATATTGCGCCAGTTCTTTCCTAATATTCTACTAACAGGTGCCGTGACACAGCCGACGGTAATCGTCCGAAGAAAATCCGGATGGCATGCCTCTAGCGAAATGTAAATTCAATTTTGTTGCATGGAAAGGGGTTCGTTTAGATATTTTTAGCTTTAAGTTTGCTTCTCCTTCCCCGTAGTTGTTACCTTCTCTTCTGTGAATATAAATTATTTTGTCTTGGAATATTTTTTCCTTAAGTCGGTATTTTCGTGCTTGCTTTCTTACAACCTCTCACTGAAATTTACTAATGTTCATACACTCATTAATACGTTCCGTTTTCTCAAAAGTTTTAGAAATAGGGCCTATACATTATGAACAATAGTAAAAATATATTTTAATGGATAAGGTCACAATATTAATTCAGTCGCTACAGAATCGCTCTGGAAATGAGTTTCGTCTGAAGAGCGGGGTGGAATCGGAAACAAGATTATCTGCCTTAACCTACTAAGTCAATAACGTAACATGCGGCTTGATCCTTGAGAGCTCTTTGAAGAAGAGGAAGTTCGATTCCTTCCTCAGAGCGGAAATTGGCTCGCAACTCGTCCACCTGTTCGATTCACCAAGCCGCTGCAAACGAACTTTCCCGATTCTGAGGTTCTCCTCGCTCCTAATTTCATTAGCTGGTGTCTGCGAGCGGCCTCGACTCCAACTAATCCCTGATCGCCCCGTCGTGCGATTTGCTATGCAGATATCCGGAATCGAACCGCTGTTATTCTTCCCTCGACTCGTAATGTTCGTTTCTTTTCGTTTTTCTTTGAATTGATTTACATTGCGGGTCAAAGACTAAGACTTGCCGGAGTCTCTGGTAAGGATACTGATGAAAACGTTTCATCATCTTTCATCTGATTTTTGATTTTAAGTAATTTGTGACAATTAAGTTCATAAAAATTGTGTATACGGGAATTCTTTTTCTATTTTTTACTATGAGTTTAAATGCGTTGGAAAGCTGATAGATTATTTACTATTTGATTTGTGATAACTATGAAAATATTTACTTAGTTTTTGTATTATTTTGAATTTGTTCAATGCTATATGTAAAAATGTCTAAGAAATGAGTTATTTTGAAAAAAATACTTAAAAATTTTTGATATAACTCATGCGAAATAGAACGCTATTATTTCTCTGATATAATTTTGCAAATTTCACGCACGTAAATAATAAAATTGGTTCAATTGTTAATAAGGAGGGTGTTCTCTTTAACGTATCTGATGTTTATTCATCATTTCCATTAGTAGAAATAGAATTAATATCGATATTCACATACATTTCTAGTAAATGGTGTACGATTATTTATTACACCTTTTGTAGCCATTTTGTCTCTTAGGATGTACTATATGAGAAAATTTACGACTCCCTTTGGATTTTACCCTCTCTGCATTGTTTCCGTTCTGTGTTAGGAACAGAACTTCGTTGAACGGGCACGAACCGCACATTAATTATGTTGTCAAATGTGGAGTTCCATGCGAATCGAGCAATTTACGCAGACGTCATTTGTCAAACTGAAGGATTTTCAATAATGTAAATAACATTTCGTGAGCACACTTTTGTTTCGTCAAATGAAAGCTATTCTTTACATTTTAAAATAAGGACTCAAAATATGTTATATTGCATTTCCCAACAAGTATTTAATGTTTATATCTCATACTTAGTGTGAGTCCTCTGTTACATGACATGTCATATTTTCATCAATAACTCACTATGTTTATGCGGATTTCAATGAAAAATGAGAATGCTTAAGAGCTTAACATTGGTTTTGAAAAAACTAACAATCTAAAACGGTCTGCCTGATAACTTAATATTCACAAAGATATAATATTATTTTTATTGATTTTTCTTTGAAAAATGTTTTCTTTGCTGACGTAATACTAATTTAATGCATTAAATGCATTATATTAGTACTAATTCATTAATGCTAAAAGCTTTACTTAAATTTTTCTTTTTCTCTTGACCACGGAAAATAAAAAAATACATTTTGTAGCAATTTCTCCCTTTGGCAGGTTATAAAGTAATAAGACAGAACAATGACAAACTAGGTTTTAAAATTGAAGTACTTAAACCATGTTTCAATGCTTCAAGAATCATGCTGATATAAGTTATTAATTATACCGACACTC